TATTCTGGAAGTTGAATCTTTATATGCTGACTTTTTTATGTCCCTTTCTTGGTGTATAGAGATGAAACATTGAAAGACTGGTCAGGTGTTGAATATTTTGTTAGGAAATGATTAGTTCACTTGTAGTGTAATGAGTAGATATTTCTACAGTGAGATCTTCAGCATGGCAGGCCGCTAATTATATGTCAGATAGATTTTATATGAGTCATGGAAAATAGTTTATGCAAGAGGAATGTTAGGCTATCTTTTTGTTGAAATGGGTTTATAAGGCTGAAGTTGATGCCATGGAAAATTTGGTTATCCCTAGTATAGTTGTTAATGTGAGAACATCTATGTATAAGTCTTTAGTACTTTTAGATTTAGCTTTTCATAACTTTAATATTAAAATAGATAAAATGGTATAGGAAATGTTTATCTATATGTTTTCATATTGTATAGTTAGCTGTTTTATGAAAATGAGGAAGGCTTTCATTATTCATGTTTTATTTGATAGTTGTAAGATTTGGTTAGCAAAATAGTGAGTGTAGTTACAGTAGTAGGTGTGATGCCCCCCCCTCCCCTCCAGCAGATGAGGACTTTGGAGGAGATGTAGAAATACCAGAGGAGGTCCAGACAAAGCTTCTGGAGGACTACGAGCGGGAGTGTGAAGAAAATGGCATGAAAAGATTGAGTAAGACCGCATCGCACTTGGATACCGCGCACAAAACCGCTTCAGCAGATGAGAATGTGGATGTACCTAATTGTGATAGTGATTTATCTGTCAAAGCCACTGCATGTACAAAGTCAATTATGGAAGAGCTAAAAGTGGATTTATCAAAAATGACAGAGGCCACCAGTAAACCTTCTCCGGCGTCGACAGGTAAACTTTTGCATCCCAGAGCTGTGTGATAAATTGTGTGTGATGCATTTATTACTGTATTAGATCTATTGCACCTTTGCTTACTTCATAGTTTACTTGTTTTTGACACATATAGTTCTAAATGTGGACATTATTATCATTATTATTTTTTTTAAAGGTATGATATTGGTTGATTTTATTGCAGTTCTATGATAGTTTAGTTAGTGTAACTTTACACTATCTGTTATTGTCGTTGAAATTGAAAATAGCCACTTTTCTGAGGTTCTTTACCATTGAAAGAGTAATACAATAAGCGGCTACCTAATTATTGAGTAGGTTTTACCACACATATACCTTGACTGAATGTGGTACAATTTTAGTACATCCTGCAACAGGTAATCAATACAAGGTTGTTATCACGTTGTACTTGAAAGTAGTCACAGATACTAGTGTCTAATTCACTGGAGTAAGATTAGAAAATATCGTGAGTAATTTAATCAAGATTCAGTGGTTATGTGTTCCTTTAGTGTCTCTTAAACCTGATCTATAGGTATATTGTTGTTTGATTAATTTTTAGAAATCACAATTTTCATATTTGATTAACCTAACCTAGCCGTATTATTAATTATATTTATATATTATGTACAAATTTGTGTCTAGGAGTTTGATACTCACTTAGGGAGATGGGTTGAATGTTCTTTCTTCTTTAATTGGGTGTATGAAAAGGCTTACTAGGGAGAGGTAGCTGCTTAGTAATTGCAGAGACTAAGGAATTATTTTGCACTAGTGAAGACAACATTAATTCTTCTTACAATTGTTCTTCCAGTCAGTGGCCTTATTATTTACTTAGAATTAGGGGTATGTGTGATGGAAACAGAAAAGATTGACTGGAATGATGGTTGTGTGAGTATGTAGTGCAGAGAATGGCTGGGCGCGTATGTCAGGAGAGGTAGTGCCAGAAGAGAATAGGGTTTACTTGCATCTGGCGGTATCAGTTGTGACGGGTATTGGATTGTTATTGGTTCTTTGATTTTATGATCATAGGATAAAATTTGATTATTTGATGAGTGAATAGGTAAGGAAGTATTATACAAAGGTAAAATTAATGGCAGTTATGATTTATTGCCAAGTAGTTCAAATAAAGGCAGTTATGTTCTTTGTTTTCATCTAAGGAAATAGCACAGATTATTTCTAATGTATTATGATAAGTACTTTTTCAAAGGAAAATATTTCTTTCGAAGTAGGCATTACTTTAATCTCATTTCTTAGATACCTGGGACTTGCATTTTTAATATAACTTATGTACTATTGTTAGAAGACATATATTTATATTTGCATTTATATACAATAACTTTTTCCCTTATAGTGTTCCTATTTTTATTTTCTTTTTTGATATATTATATAATTGAAGTGTCTGGCAAGCAGTAAACAGGTAGTCCATGAGTATGTATTGTGAGGATGCTTTCATTTAATTTTATGGTGAATTTTATGGCGAATTGCATGACTCCACGCTTTTCCTTACTACACTGCATGCGTTTCTCATAGTTATTACTTTTTAATCTTATAGTGTGTGTGTTTGTGTGTTTTTTTTGCATTGTTATATATCTTTTGTAATATGTATTGTTTTATTAAAAGATGTTTATAATAAAAGTTTTGGAATTCCTATGATATGTAAATACTTGTTACCTTTAACGTATATAAATATTTTGGATGGTTGATTACTTGTTAATTGTTATATATATGTTTTTTCTAATAATGATTATTATTGCATGGTAAAATGCTTTACCATGTAGACATGATGGTTTATAAACAGACTATACACAAAATAGATATATTGATGGTGAGATGACAGTTTTGAAAAACAAATGGATTTCATCTTCAGGTCTAAGAGAAAAAGGGAGGTGAGGTCAGGTTGAGGGGTCAGGTCAAAGAGTTGGATGGTTTTTGGGAAGGGTAGACTGGTTGACTCTTTAGCCTGACCGGAGCTGTCTTTCCATGTACCCGTCATCACCTCCCCTTGTGCTATGTTGGGTCTCCCCTTTCCTCTTATTTGCCTGTCTCTCTACCTCTTCAGGAATCTCAAAACTTGTGTCATCTTCCAGAGTTTTGTGTATAGTAGGTTTATCTATCATCATTTATATCAGCATTAGATAACTGGTTCATTAGAATAAATTGACTTTTTAAGTTAGGATATTAGGGCTATTGTTTTTGTAATTAATGCTGCTACGAGTTATACTGTGTAACCTAATAAACTGCACAAATAGATGTGCATTTCAACATTGCCAACAAAATTTAAGAAATAAAAGAAAGATGAAAAGAAAATCTTATCAGAGGGAAAGAGGGCATAGAAAGGTATATGAAAGACAATTGTAAAATTGAATGGGTGGTGAAAATAACTGAGAATGAGATGCCAAATGTCTTTTTAGGACATATGGGAAAACTTACCCGTCATATGCTGTAGGTCACAGTTGTAGGTCACTGCTGTATGACCTCCATCATATGACCTGTATTGCAGGTATGGGTTAAACTGCACATACATTTTATATGCTGATATTTCAGGTGAACACAGCCACATTATTTCTCTATGATTCATTATATTCTGCATGTTAATGATGATGGGTTACATATTACTCACCATTGTCACCATCATAATCACCAATCATCATTACCATCATCATTTATTAACATTATCATTATGAATGACAGTTATCTGTGGCTGTCATCTTCATCATTGTCAGTTGGCTCTATCATCAACCTTTTATTACTTCTTCTTTCCAATTCTTGATATTGCTATCCCTTCTTTATCAGCTGTATTATCAGCATAAATAAGCTACTTAAGAACTTAAAAAAAAAAAATTAGATTGTTTTTTCTATATTTTATTTATCATTTTTTAAATGGTATGCTATATATTGTCTTTTAGTTTAAAGTAAAGCTTTAAAAGAAATAAACAAATATTTGTAACTCCTTTTACCCTTCAATACTTCAGTATTTTCAGAAATATTAATTTTTATTAAAACCCAGGTTATCAAACCATCTACATATCAGTTAGTATTGATCATACTGGGTAAGTGATAAGAAAAGTGTATTGTCATTAGTTACAATTACTGCTACTAACAATGCTGTGAGAAATGTTAACTATGATAACCTTTATGATATAAGATAAAAACAATTTGTAATTTAAGTTAATTTATTATTAACCCTCATGCTCATTATAATGAAATGCTTTTTTGTCAAATTATAATACAATCAATGGTAATTCTTCTTTCTCTTTCTTCTTGTGAAATAACAAACAATAACATCATGACCATTGTCACCTTCCTCTCCCCAGGCTTACACCTCTGTCATTCATTAAAAAAAATGCTGGGCCTAAACAAATGTCTTTTGAGCTATTGTTTATTCACTGGCAATTTCTGGCTACTAGCTTTTGCAGTTGCACAACTGACAATGCTTCTCACAAGGAAACTCATGTGGAGATATATTTATATGGTCTTTTTTTTTCTTTAGTATGATGAAGGCTGAAAAATTTATAGGAAAGTTGATTTAAATTGTTGAACCTGTCTGCTTTCACTGGATAAATTGCTTACCTTATCATTAAAGTGCATCAAACTTTAGGAATATGATAGCAAAATAAGATTTTTGCCATAGCAGAATAGTTTGATTGCTACAGTATATCTAGATTTTCTTTGAAAGCATAGGTAGGTTTTATGAGCTTTGAGCCAAGGAGCTTTATTATTCTGTAATCAGTCCTTTTTCTGACTATACTTGATAAGTGTATTCAGTTTATATAACAAATGGTTGAATGCTAATGTAGTGAGTGTGTATGTGTTTGTGTGTAAGTGAGATGTTGATCATGTAACCTTTGTTTATAAGCAAAAAAAGCTGTCTTCAGCACAAGCATGTTAAAATGCATATTGGCACGGATGCCCATTCCTTTTGCTTGTCTGATTGTTACCTGGTAAGTGATCCCAGAATCCCTCAAAGAATCCACTTAGCATGATGTTGTCTTGGATAAAATATATGCTTTAGAAGCCTTGATTTAGCTGAAAGGTATTGTAAATATGGTAATGAGTATGGTTCTTTAATACTTCATTTAGACTTTATTTGTGCTGTTTTGATAGCTTACTGAATTTAATGTTAATAGCTAACATGAGAAGTTAGATGATACGCTTCATGATGATTTAGCAAATATGATGTAGTTTAAGATTTTGTTTTCCTTGAAAATAGCAGGAATTATGTTGATATTTAACCAAATAGACTACAGAATTATATTTCTATATCTATTTATAGTAGTTTGTAGGAAACATAACAAGTAGAAAGTAGTTGTCACTTATTCATGTGAAATCTATTGATATCATGGTAGGAAGAACACGTCTTTCAATTGCAAACTTTGGTAAGCACACTTCTAGAGTATTGCAGAGTTTACTTTCACATGTAATTCAGTACCATAAATAAATTATTTGAGATTATCTGTGGAAAGTTTTGCAAAAGACCAGACTACAATAGAATAACTACTGTACAGAGCAAAAATGTACATTCCAATTTACATTATTTTTCTTAAACAATACATTTTACATAACCTTTCTTGATCAGTAGATTTTGTGATGCAGAACAGTTACACATGCTATATCCTACGTACATCACTTATTTACAATTTTACTCCACGAGCAACCCACAAACAATTTTAATACTAGAAGTTAAGTTTGACATTCTTATTTTAGATACCCTTATTAATTTGTTTTGTAATTGAAAATAATAGTTATAATAGTACTTGTAAATAGTAGTAGTAATAGAACTAGTAAGTAGTATAGAACTAGTAAGTAGTAATAGAACTAGTAAGTAGTAGAACTAGTAAGTAATAATAGAACTAGTAAGTAGTAATAGAACTAGTAAATAGTAGAGAATAGAATAGTAAGTAGCAATAGAACTAGTAAGTAGTAGAACTAGTAGTAGAAATAGAACTAGTAAGTAGCAATAGAACTAGTAGTAGCAATAGAACTAGTAAGTAGCAATAGAACTAGTAAGTAGCAATAGAACTAGTAAGTAGCAATAGAACTAGTAAGTTGTAGTTGTAGTTGTAGTTGTAGTTGTAGTTGTAGTTGTAGTTGTAGTTGTAGTTGTAGTTGTAGTTGTAGTTGTAGTAGTAGTAGTAGTTGTAGTTGTAGTAGTAGTAGTAGTAGTAGTAGTAGTAGTAGCAGAAGCAGAAGTAGTAGAAGCAGAAGCAGAAGCAGGAGTAGTGATAACAGTAGTGATGATAGTAGTAGTAAGCAGTAGTAAGTAGCAGTAATGCTAAGAGTGGTAGTAAGCAGTAAAAGTAAGTAGTTATAATAATTAGTAGTAGTGGTATAAGTAGTGTTGTAGTAGTAGTAATAGTTGTACTAAGTATTTAGTAGTTTTAGCATTAAATAGTAATTGTAATAAGTAGTCGTAGTAGTAATAACAAGTAGCAAAAAGTAGTAGTGGGTGCCATCCTTGTGAAGATGATGATAATGAATGATATTATTGCTATTGTTGATGTTGTTGTTATTATTATTATTATTATTATTATTATTATTATTATTATTATTATTATTATTATTATTATTATTATTATTATTATTATTATTATTATTATTATTATTATTATTATTATTATTATTATTATTATTATTATTATTATTATTACTGTCATTGTCATTATCATTATTATTATTATTGTTATGATGATGAATTCTTCATTATTAGTTATTAATCATTCATTCTTAATTATTGTTAGTTATAATGATTGTTATAGTTATTATCAATATCACTTATTAGTTATGTTTTGTTAATGTTGGATGGCATAGTTCAGTTCCACTAAAGAAAAAGAGATAATTGAAATATATTTCATTATGTAATGGATTACAGCGGAAAGTATTATTTTGTTTTTCTCATTTTGATATTTTCATTAAAGTCAAATGAAGTCAGTCACCCTGTTTGGCAAGAATATATGCCATGCCTACAGCAATATAAGTTTATTTAATATTTTTACACATAGATGGCTCTGTAAGTGCTTATTAGTCATTTATTAGTTTTGCCTATTTTGCCGGTTTACCCTTTTAAATTTTTTTTAGAAAGCTTCTTTTGTATTATTTTATTGTCTTTAATGCTATTGATATCTTGATAACAGTTGAATTATCATAATATCAATAAAAGGAATAGCAGCATCAGTATTAATAGTACGAGAAGGAAAAACACATTTTCCGACAAAATTCAAGAATGGAGAAATCAGGTGCGATCACTAGGGACTCCATGATGGTTGATTGCCTGTGGAGCCATCTGTATGGAACGAAATTCACAATAAAAACTCAATGGGAACAGTACATAAATTCATAGTCATTGTGTTAATTAATATGGAACTTGTAACCCAATATTTGTATTGCTTTCGTTTTATATAGTATAAATCTTCATTAACTAAAGTAGTATAAAATATATCTATCTGTCTATCTATCTTTCTGTCTAACTATCTATCTTTCTATGTATCTATCTATGTATCCATCTATGTATCCATCTATCAATCTATCCATCTATCTATCCATATATCTATCCATCTATGTCTATCTATATATCTGTCTATCTATCTATCCATCCTTCCATCTATCTATATACACGCATACATACATGTATATATACATACATATCCATA